TGCCACTCTTTTGCTGATCCTCTCTCCTGGGTCCTCCAGTGGTCTACCCATCTCCTGCCACCCAGTTGTCTCCAGTTCTTCCTACTCAGATCTCTCCTGCCTGCCTCCTTGTGTTTGTACTGTATGCTCTGCCTAGGTCACTTCCATTTAGTCTTCAAGGGCTATCTACCCCTCTTTGAACCCCAACAAGCAGAATTCAGAGCCTTCTGTTGTCCCTATGTGTCCCTCTCCAAGCCCATCTGAGGCCTGGTTTCTCATACAACTGAGACTTCCTTGAAGCATGTTTGTAGCTTCCATGCCTAGAACAATGCCTGGCCCTTCTGAGACTTTCTGACTGAATGAATGAGTGAGTTGCTAGTTTCAGTTTCACATTGTATATGACATACTCCAGGTGATGCCGTGAACTCAGGGGTCCCTGGCTTCGCCAGAAGTCCATGTCTAGTCTCTTTGGAGGGAACTCTATGGCTGATCCTGAGAAGAAAGTCTTGGGTTATAAAGATAGAGCTTTTGCACTTGGCCTCTCCTGCAGCTGAACTTGGTGTTCCCAATGACTTTTTAATTCCCAGCCATTTAATACAAGAAGCACACACAAGAAGGTTGTCCACATTCCTCACTCCAGATGAGCCAAGTAAATACTGGAGACGACTGTCAGTTGACTATAGACCGAAGAGACAGTTTCTTTTGCCTACAGCAACTCCTGTTTTTATCTGACACATTTAATTTTGTTCTCTAAGAATAATCAAGGTGGTGGGCACTTTGAAGGGGAAAGATAAAAAGGAAAAAATAGCAACTCCCTGTTCTTTTACCTTGAAAATACATTCTCACCTTGGAGTGGGAACCCAAAATCACTGGGTCCTGAGTACTGTGCTAACTGTAGAGTTCTTTTCCATCTGACTGTGCACTCTGACATTCTCCTGGGCTCGCAGCCTTGCCAGGTTCATGAACTTTGCTCATTGTCCAATAAGCTCAATAATAAAATGGAGATTTGACTCTAGAAACTCTGAGTAATTTATTTATTTTTGGCCTGCTTTTTAATGATTGCACATTGGTCACTCGTGGATTTTATTTCTTCCACCTCTGGCTAAAAAGTATAACTAACTGTAGGCTCCTTTCCTGTGTGACTTTAGCCTTATGAATCACCCATGCACATCCTGACCTCAGCCCTCCTTCCTCTGCCTTTGAACTTCCAGCTTTCTTCCAAGAGCCTCCTTCATCATCTCTACCCTTGTTCTCTGATATCTAGGCCAGTGAGACCTTAACAGTCTCAAGGTCAAAAAAAACTTATCTTTATTCTCCTTTATGCTTCTGGCCTCTAAAATATATGGAGTAATAGTGAATAGGTATTTGTTAAACCAAGTGTAACTTGTCAACAACCAGAGACTGGCACTTTGGGTCCCACTCTCTTCTACATCCCGGTTATCAGTTCACTTTACCTGAGGGCCCTATCTTTATTCTGAGTACTCTGTCTTTCCCAGAACTCAGAAGGAACCTGGCTCTGGATGACTTTTACCATCATTTTAACTGCACTATTAGCTAGAAAAGACTTTTTGAGGGTGGTCTAAGAGCCTAATTATCATTTAAAATAACAAGAGCTGACATTTAATGAGAACTATGTGCCAGGTCTTTTATTGAAGACACTAATCCTAATACTAACCTTAATGGATGGGATGTTATCCCCTCTTTACAGATGAGGAGACTGAAGCTTGGAGAGGTTAAGTAATTTAAGGTCACAGTGCTAATAGCATGTTTCATCAGTGGTAAGATACATATTTTGTTCGTATTTTAAGATCTTTGCAATGGATGTACACCTTAAGGTCGATGAAGGTTCCAGTCCCCGTTAGCCTGGAGACAGCAGCTTTGAGTGGATGACGCTGTCTCTGCCTGTGTGAACCTGGGCACAGCTGCTCATCACATCATGCACAGATGTCATCCCATCACTCACCTCCTTTATGTGCATCCTTGGTATTCTGTATCTTGAGGTTAGTTGCAAATAGGCTGGTTTTGAAAATAGAGTAAACATTTGAGCCAAGTTGCTTGCTTTTTTTCCCTCCTTAACTCTTATAAATTATGCTCTGAGCACAAAAGAGAAACCACTGTGAAAATCAGACAGGCCTATTGATAGATCAGTAGAGTGCTGTTTGACATTAGTGAAGCAAATATTGATCACTGGAGAAAGAACTTCAATTCCATATTTTCTCACATGGCATAGTCAATTGCTTAGAAAGAAAGATACCCACAAAAAGATGAGGGTGAGTTTGTGTTTTTTACTGAGATATGTGCAGAGCAGAAGGGTTACCTGTTACATGTGAAGCAGTGCAAAGCAATGGCAAGATGTTGCCACAGCTTTTTGAATAGGTAAGAGAAATGTCAAAGCAACCAGAGGCTGCTGTGCATGATTCATGGGTATCTCAAGATTATTGTTAAGGCATTATGTCATCATTAAAATGCAAGTGTTTTTACCACTAGTAATAAAATAAGGATGTATCTTAACAATCATTGAAGTCTTGGATTGGGTGAAATCCTTTAAGTGGCAGATCCAGTTTCAAACTCAAGCAGCCCAGCTCTGGAGATTTCACCCATATCCACTATCCCTCAGGCTTTTTATCTCTACAGGAAAACATTTGCAGGGTGTAAAAGGGTTTACAAATCATTTTTTAGAACATAGCTAGGTTGATATGCTTAATTTCATATTTAAAGTAGAATCTTCCCCAACTCTCAATGCCTCATGACTTGAATTAAGAAACAATCTATTTTAAGGTAGCCACCTTGTAATTAATCACCAGATAGCAAGTGGTACTATGTTTTATTCCTTGATTGCCTAACAGAGAATTCAGGAAATGCTTTTTATCATCAAGATAATTATAACTATTGGGGTTGGCAGAGATACAGTGACTAGTACTCTTCTCCCTAAAGTAGTTCACAACTAACTGAGAGATCAACACAGGTGTCAAGCAAATGGAGATTAAAACATTAGAAATCATGATAAATACTTGATCAGAGACACAGTATAGAGAGGTGTCCATGGTAGGGTTGCTAATAGTTCATCCCTTGATTCCTACCTGGCACAGTGCCATAGCCCACCAACCAAAGGGGAAGGGTCCTTACTCCATGGCAGGGAGCTGATCACAATGCAGGTATTTTGAAAACATGCTGCCTTTTGAACAGAGAAAGAAAAAAATGAGTCAAATACTCTTGTTCCTCCTCCATCACATACACTACTACACTTGGGGAGGGATGAATGAGGGATAGAGAGAGACCACCCAGGGAATCACTCTAGTGGAAGTGTTTTCCCTTGGGTGGAAGTACGAGGCTATAGAGTAGGAGATTCTCCCTTAACAATTACAAGCATTAATATTGATACCACTAGGCACAGATTTCTTAGTTTCAGCCTTTCATTCTAGCTCAGGTCTGAGTCACCTGGGTTAGCTGAACGGTTGGTAGTGAGATTGCATTTAGTTTGAACATGATACAATCATGCTGTTTTACAGTCTCTTTTTACAAGTATCATTTAGTTAAATCATACCCATAGTGTCTTTGCCTCATTGCCTTTCACTTCATTTAAGATTTGCAAGAACAGTCCTAGGCTGTTGTTCATTCCCAGGGTAACATTTTACTTACAGGAGGACCCCGAGACTTTTCTTGTAGAGATGTCTTTTCAGTGCTTTTGATAAGAATTTCAAAAAACTTAGAAGTCAATGCTCTGGTCAACCCTCTGAATCTTGGTGAATGTCTGCATGTTATCAACTTGTTGCAGAACATCTACTGAGTTTCTCCGGTAGATTTTCATCATGTTGGTGGTGTAAGTCGCTGTATTATGGGTCTAACTTTTCATTTTCAAAAGATCTGTGATAAACCGTGGTTTCTTTATGAAATTATTCAGGCACTGATTTAAAAACATATAATTTCTTTCTCATAGGTAGCATTTTAATGGGTACATTTTATCTATTTTTGCATATATTTTAATTTTATTTTTGTACATATATCTGACTAGTGTATTCTTTGCTAATAGGGTGCTGAAAACATGGTAGGTCCACAATAAAGACCTGTTGATTTGTTAATTCAAAAGTGAATCTCAAAGGAAACAGTGGCCTGTCAGATTATAATTTCATTTTTTCTCATTGCCTTATTCTGGACACTAGGCCAGTGAGAGTTCACTACTATTTGTAGGATAAACTACTTATACTGAAGATGAACTCAGGCCTAGTATTCCTTTACCCGTGGAAAATAAAAAATGTGCAATCTTCTTGTAATCACTCTTAATTTTAAACTATATATTGCATATTTAGTCACTGACTTACAGGGGTGACAAGGGGCCAGACTTGGAAGTTAATTGGGGAAAATGTCATGGCCTTCCCTCATTGTAGGGCAGGAATATGACCTGCACCCACTGAGAGAGCATCCATTTGGAGATTGAGAAACCAGAAGGTGCATGACCCAGCGTAGCAGATGGGAACTACATGAAGGAGCAGATCAACAGTGGGGAGTCTTTTGAGCTATTCTCTGGGCTTTTCTCCATTCCATCAAAATTCCCTTTTCACTGAGGCTGTTCTCACTCTTTCCCTTCCTTACCTAAATGTGTCACTGCATATTTCACCCTTCCTGATAACCCCTCTCTTACTACTCCCTTAAGTCATATCTCCTCTTTGCTGGCTCTAGAATATGTCCATTTCTCTCCTTGACATTCTGTGTGACATTCATTTGTCTGTACTACACACCTCATTTAGCTGCATGGCCTTTTGCTATTTCATAATTGCATGAATTGGAGCTCAGTCTTTGCCAGGAACTAGCCAGTTGACCTCACATTAAGTCCATGTTTTTTATCACCATGGATCTCAGTTCTCTTACCTGGGAAATGATCTCCCAGGACACTTCCCACTTTGGACTGTGTGTTTCTGAAAGTGGAGGCAGTGATATAGCATGGTGGGGTGGGAGTATGTGTGCATTTCCCACTTGCAGTGCTGTTACCCACATTTCTGCTGACTTCCACTGTTCTTTTTCAGGGCTGGGAGAGGGTTCGGCCCTCCTTCATCCAGATAGCAGATCACATCCTAGGTCCTTAGAGAAAAGTGCCTGGAGAGCATTCAAGGAATCACAGTGTCATCACATGCTCAAACATCTCCACAATGGTGCACGGATCACTGTGCAGATGCCACCAGCAATCGAGGGCCACTGGGTGTCCACTGGGTAAGAGGGGCTCAGGAGGGACTGGGGAGCACACTTCTGTGGAAGGCCCTTCTTAGGGTCTCTTAGATGGATGTAGACTTTTTATAATATACAATGACTTAAGTGTTGTCTAAATTCTAAGAACCAAACAACACTTTGAAATTCTGGTTGGTAAAGAAACAGAGTTAAGTACTGTAGAAATCTTAGCTAAAGCAGAGATGATATTGTACCACTGTTAGCCACAGGGTGTGAGTGAATAGGTCCTTGTTTACTGAACTCTGTGGGACCACTGCTGTATAAAAAGAAACCATTAGCAAGTGAAATTAGGAGTCTGTGTTTCCCCAACCCTGAAACATGATTTGCAAGTTTCTGATCATCTAAATATTCCAGCCATATTCTGGTAATTTAATATATAGCTTCAGGGTTCTAAGAGTAAGTTAAGAGATTTTCAAGCTACCTTACTAGGCAAGCCGTAGTTCTTGGATTCTTTTCCAGGCTGTGGAGCTGAGATTTATCCCAGTTTAAGCTCTGGCTTATCTTCCATTAGAGCTTTTAAAAATAACCTAGAGGCAGACCTGCAGTTTTTCTCCTACCCATTAAATTGTTGAGAATTAACAAGGCTAACTCTGGAATCTGATCACTTCTCCCTTGCAGTGTCTGGGTACCTTGGGGAGGGATTAAATAAATACGGAGAAGAAGAAAAAGGAATTTTATAAAATGATGAAGATCCAGAGGTTTCTTTTCCATAAAAATGAGGTTTCTCAAAATAAATAAATTACAAATACTTACACTAACAATCTTAATGTGATGTACTTTTAAGTAATTTATTATTTTATTTAACAAATACTTATTGAGCATACAAGTATTAACTGTGTGCTAAGCATTATTCTAGATTTTGTATTTATAACAGTAAACAAAACAAACATGGTCTCTGTCTTCAAGAGTTTTACAAATAAGCACACAAAGAAGCACTATGATAAGGGAAAAAACAACAGCTGCTAAAAGAGAAAACCAGGGGCCCTAATTTAGGGTGGGGTGATGCTATATATTATAGACCTGAGCAGACTTATAAGGCCAAAATTAATGAGATGAAAGTCCTGTAACTGAGACTAGGATCTAGCAAAAGGTATAGACAGACAAATTTTTGCCCAATACATTGAAAGAAACCTCCATCATCAGTCTGGGGCGGGGGCTACGCTGCATGTCTGCAAATCGGTTACAATCAGAGCAGTGTGAGGAGCATGGCCAAGCTAAAGCCTGCTGAGCCGTTTGTGCTCTGTTGACCCAGGCCAAGTATTTCTGACCTAGGAATCTAGAATTTATCTAATGCCACAACAGAAAACATTTTGTTGTCAACAGTGCAAAACAAAAGGAATTGTTTAATTCCTATTGTTTAATTAAAATTGTTTAATTTTACTATTTGCCTCTTTATTTTTCTAGAGGGAAAATTGACTGGGTGAGAGGGTGAATTTCTGACCTTTAAGTGGCACTTTCCCAAGACTACATTCCATTTTGGGAAGGTGGACATCTAGCGTCTGCCTCCTCTAGACAAGGTCCACAAAACAGAAGTTGTAAGGAAATTAAGTTATTTCTGAACTTGCTTAGGGGAACTTCTTTTATAGGTCAGAAATATACTCTTTCCTTCTTCCTACCAGGAAGGAAGAAATTTCTCTGTAAGTTAGGCCCATGGGTGGAACTGTGGATGGCAGGTTTTGCTCTCCTGGTTTGTACATAAAGTGAATGAATGACTTTCTGGAGTAGAGTGATTAGGCTCATAGGCACTAGGGCTGGACCACTTTGGTTCACTATCTGGCTCTGATGCTGGCTGGTTATATGACCATAGCCATGTTTCTTAATCTCTTGTGCCTCTGTTTCTCCATCAGTAAAATATGGACAATAGTAATAATACCTACCTCACTCATAGGTTATTGTGAGGATTCAGTGAACTGGTATCTATACATGACTTAGAACAGTGTAAGCATATTATTATTATTACTGTAGTTTCTTAACACTAGAATGAATCTTTTTCTCATGCCTTTGGGCTTAAAAAAGTCTTTCTTCCCCACTTCTTTTTCAGCTGTGAAGTGAGGTCAGGCCCAGAGTTCATCACAAGGTCTTACAGATTCTACCACAATAACACCTTCAAGGCCTATCAGTTCTATTATAGTGGCAACCGCTGTACAAGCCCCACCTACACACTCATCATCCGGGGCAAGATCCGCCTGCGCCAGGCCTCCTGGATCATCCGTGGGGGCACAGAAGCTGACTATCAGCTGCACAGTGTGCAGGTCATCTGCCACACGGAGGTGGTTGCCGAGAGACTCAGCCAGTTGGTGAACCGCACGTGCCCTGGCTTCATCCCTGCTGGAGGTGCCTGGGTGCAGGATGTGCCCTACGACCTATTGCAGGAGGAAGATGGCTGTGAGTGCACCAGGGCCGTGAACTTCGCAATGCATGAGCTGCAGCTGCTCCGGGTGGAGAAGCAGTACCTGCAGCACCACCTGGACCGCCTGGTGGAGGAGCTCTTCCTTGGGGACATCCATACTGATGCCTCTCAGAGGACATTCTACAGGCCATCCAGTTACCAGCCCCCACTGCAGAATGCAAAGGTACCCTGAAACTGACTGCCCTCAGGGCCCTGCAGCCTCCTCTTTGTGAAGTAAAATGAGGGACCTAAAGGCCTGTTGTGTCAATGGAGTCAAAGGGACCCCATGATAGAGAAGAGTTGAGTCGTGAGGGAGGGACTGCTGGGAGGTGAGAGGATTCTCAGAGGACTTTTGGGGGGGAGGAACATGTAGCCAGAGTCAGGAAACCTAGGTCAGCTACCAGCTTCCTCTGTGATTTGGGGCCTTGATCTTATTTGATGTGGGTGGTTGGTTGGGGGTTGGTGGTATGGTAGGGTCTCAGGTGGTTGTCCTAGAAAATCCCTGAGGCTCCTTTCAACTCTAACACTCTAGGAACCTTGTCTGTGATTCTAACAGGAAAGCATGAAGGAAATACAGAGATGTTCTAACTACATGTGGGAAAGACAGACAAGCACGGCAGTGACGGCAGCTCTGGAGGAGGTGGGGCTGTCCCAGGGGAACTGTGACAGTGCTGTTTGCAAAGGGCTGTAAACCCCGTGAGGATTTCCCACCCACATTTCAGACTTCACAATGGCTTTCTGAGACAGGTACCACCATTCTTACAGGCAGAAGAGGCAGTTAAGGTTCAAGGGATCAGCCTCCTGCCCAAGGTCACCTAATTAGTTTCAGTGGAACTTGAACTCAAACCTTCCTGCAGACCCCACACTTGACTGACATAAATGTAAAGTCACTGTAATCAGAAGAGAGGACAGAGAGGGGCAGGAAACAATTAAAACCTCACAATGTTCTTTTCTTAAATGATAGTCCAGTACTTATATTTGGAATTCACTAAGCATTTCCTTCCCATGGTCTTAGAATTCATGTCAGCATGTAACGTGATCATTTCCACTCCAGAAGTGAGAGAAACTCAACACATGGAGGGTGTGCAGGGCACTGATCGTGGTCGGCTAGGGTGGCAGACAGTTTTCTCTAGAACAACAGTTCTAATTGCAGGGTACTATTTGATTTTGTTTGGCAGGTTATTCATTTTTTTTTTACTTTTTTTTCTTCTTAGTTCTTTGAGCTCATTCATGACTAGTGGAGTGATCACAGCATACTTCTCCTGCCAAAGACCACTCAGTGTTATCTTTTTAGTGGTGTTATTGTGAGCTTATGTAATGAAAGTCACCCTTATTATAATGGTGGGAAATCAGCCAAGGAAGCCCACGTGGTGGAAGCTGCTTCCTCTTGAGGCAGCTTGTCAGGGACAGTCTCCTGAGTGAGGTGAGGCTGACTGAGGGCCAAGGGCTTCAGGCCCAGAGCTCCTTGAGCTCTCCACACTCAGGTAGCTCAGATGCCATGAAGGGTACTTCCAATGGAGAATGGGAGCCAGGTCTACTATGTTGTGTCTCAGGAGTGCCAGAGGAACTGAGAAGGAAAAGGTGAGTTAGGGCAGTGTGCAAGAGAGCCTTGTTCATGCCTTCTTCCAGATGTCCTCTTGGGATAGGAGGTGGGAGGTCATGGGTGGGGGCTAAGCTGTGACCATTCCACACAGTGATGCAAAGGAATCGAGAGGGAGAATCTTCCACAGGGTGGTACCTGGGTGAGTGCCTGTTTTTTGTGTGGTTTTTTGTAAAACAGAAGAGTAATGAGCTTCCAGTTCCATCATAAGACCTTTCCAGTTGGTAGCACTACCCAGAGTCTGTGTTGAATATTGCAGCTAAATTACACTTTTGTTGAAATCTTTGGTGTGTGATAACAGCAGAGGAAAGGAGATTTTCATACATACATTTTGTTTCCTCTGAGTATAGCCAGCCAACTTTTAAATTATTTCTGGTGATGCGAGGTAAGAATGTCATAAGTAAAAATGGCCCACAGATAATTTAGAAACTCATGCGAGCCAGGAACACTAGCCCCTGTCTCACCCTGAACCTTTGTGAAGATCAGCTAAGCCAGCAGAGTCCCTTTCATCCCTACTCACCCTGTAGGGGAGACACTAATGAGCAGCAAGACTGCCAGAATTCAGGGGCAGTGAGGGAAGGGGCTGAGGAAAGAGGAAGGAGAAAGGAGGCTGCATTGCTCAAGGAGTAGGCACAGTGCAGCCCCGAATTGCCTGGGCTGGAGTTGGGACCCCTCTTTCCAGCTCTGTACCTGACCTCGGGCTGGTCATTTGTAAATACTCTGGTTCAGGTTCTGTTTCTTCACCTGCAGATGCCTATGTAGGCTCTTTGATCTCAAGTGCTTTCTAGGACTCTAAAAAAAAGGTATCAATATGGCCATTTTGTTTTCTCATCCCTCTTTCTTCTTCCTTAAATTCACTGTGGCACTTCTGATGGCATGGCTCATCAGAAAGTCTAAAAGATAAAATCAGTCTTCCTAAGACTCGTAGCTGCAGATGATACTCTCTTCCTCCCTCCCCTGGGTCTGAAGGAGAGAGTTCTCCTGGTCAGCATCCCTCACTAAATAGAGCCTAGTTTTGGGGAGAGGAAAGGCATACAGTTGTGGCTCTGGGAAGAAAAATGTACTGAAAATGAGTTACTAACATTGGTGTGGAGAATTAAGGATGAGAGTTGTAAGGCCAACATTCTTAGAATTTTTATAAACAAAAAATGGTTGCAGAGTTGTTTTTTTTTTAAACATTGTCTCAATAAATTGGTGAGAATATGAACTTGGATATGGTAGCCAATCCTGGAGCCCAATTCTCTTGTCATCAGCTGTGGGGCATAGTAGTATTACCTGACCTTTGGGAGTCTTAGTTTTTCTTTTCTATAAAATGGTAAAAATAGAAGATTCGATTGGGTTCATGTGCAGAATGCTCTCTGCCTCTGGAAAGGGCCCCTCACCGAAGTTCCCTTCTCCCCTGGCCTGGAGTAAGTAACTGTTCTGGCTGTGTGGCTCCTGGAGGCATGAGAGTGACAGCTGACCAGGGCCATCAAAGTATTTTATGGTGCCTGGCTAGAAAACCTGTCCTTCCCTTTCTTCTTCCCTCCTCTGATAAGGCAGTTGTGGGAACATTTACCCAGTTTTTTAAGAAGTAAACCCTTTAAACCCTAGGTCTGATTCCCTCATTCAAGAAATATTAAGGGTGGAAGGAACCTTGGGTCTTAGATATTATCCAAGATGTACTGTTAAGGAAAAAAAAGGAAGGCATAGAATAGCATGAAAAGTATGATACCATTGTGTAAAATTAATCACAAAAGAAGAAGATAAGCTTACAAAGGTACATAGGAAATGTAATGATTGCTTCTGAGGAGGGAGACTAAATAACTGGGAGACAGACAGAATTTATCGCTATATTTTTTTGTACCTTTTGACATTTGTGCCATGATCTTAAATTACCTACATACAATCACTACCAAAACTAAAACACATCTTTCAAAGTTAGGACTCTGGGGCCCAGAGTGCTGCGGCCACAGATGGGGATGGCGGCAGGCCTGGGAGGAGGAGGATGCAGGCAGGCGGGCGTCCAGAGCCCAGCATGTGCTGTGCACTGCTGGGGCTGCCAGCTGGGGAAGGGGGGTCCTTCGAAGACTAGGCCCTGAGGTCCACCTGGCTCTGGGAGCTGAAAGGGCTCGTTCTTCTCTTGTTGTCCCTGGCATTGTAGGTCTTGGCCTGCAGTGTGCAGCAGAGTCTTCAGGAAGTTTTTAAATCCTTCCCCAGGACAGCTATGAGAAGGAATAAATGGACTTGGCTTTTGGTGCCTTTCCAGATACCAAAAGCAAAGCCTCAGGTGTTCCCTGCCTGCTGGGTCTGCAGGAAGAAGAAGTGGGAACTGGGAACGCATCAGGAAAGACCGCATGCCCCCACCCCTTTGAACTCCTTGCCTTCCCTAATTGCTGGTCCATCGAGACCTGGCTGAAAATTAGTGTAAATGCTAAATTGAGTTTGAAACCACTAGTCTCAACCCCTCTGGAAACAGGACACCATGTAAAAATAGAATCGTTAAATCATCTTGTTTTTCTAAGTTTTATACAGGTTTGCTGTGCAGTTCGGAGTCCTTTGGCAAATAAATTATGTTTGAAGAAAATCAGGTGTGCTGGGAGGATTCTCTCAGGATGAAATTGGCTACTCTTCATTAAAAAAAAAAAAAAATCAAGGCCACCTAAAATAACCCTGAGCGAAGATGCTTTGTTTGAATTGAGTTTAACATTTGGGCAGCCATTACCCTCTACCTAGATTCTTGTGCAGTTGAAGAGTTAGTGAGGTACATTTCTTCATGTGGTAGAATCAAAATGTAATTAAAAGCAAGTGATTGCTGGGGTCGATGGTAATGCCAAAGCCTCGGTATCAGACTCATCAGCAAATAGAATTGTTTTTTCTCCAAAATCCTGCACTGATTTAGCCACAGGGTTGTAAATCAAAGGGTTTGTCAGAAACCCTGACAACTTTCCCTAAGCTACTTATCTTAAATATTCCGCCCAGCACAGTACAGCAGTGGGACTGCACATCAGAGGGAGAAAAGCACCAAATGTTTTTAAGAGCAACTGGGCACTGCAAATGAAGAAGGAGTTACTTGTGCACTTTCTTGAATTTTGTAGAAACCTGTAGAGTCTAGACTGAATGAACAAGCATTTTTTTCTGAGGAATCTTGTCTTTCCAAGTCTTTTCAGAGTATTTGAAAAATATAGATTAACTCTGAGACTTTCTGATATCTATGACATAAGAGGGTCTTTGGACCAGGTGACTGTGGGCAGTGGACTTGTCAGCCCAACTCCAGGAGACAGATCTTCAGCAGAGAGGGGTCTCTCCCTAGGCGTGTGCTTGGTGTGGCTCCCAGGTGGGAGGGTGAGTGGGTATCACAGGAGTAAGCACAGAAAGAGCCAGGTGCTCATAGAAGAAATCCTGTCCCTTCTCTTTCTGCTAGTGCAGGGAGATGAGAGGGCTTTGCTGAGGTGAGGGGAGATGGAAGAGGTGGTAGAGGACTGAGAGGTTTAGGGACTCATGACTTAAAATGGTTTCAGATGTCTCACTAACGTTAAGGTTGATTTCTAAAGAAAATGGTGATCCTGCTCACTGGGGCCAGGTGTTTGAACTCCAAGGTTGCA